TTCTGAACTGTCTCTTTCTGTACCATAATATAGACACCATCATCCCAATACATTAATCTATGACCAATTGCATAAGCTTCAGTTAAATGATTCTTGTGTGTTCATCACAGTCCTTCATGTAAGCAGTCCTTCATTCACATAGCATTATTAATGAATGGAAGACTATTTTTGGTGAAATGAAAATTAAAAACTAATGTCCTAGGGACTGGTTTTCTTAAACACTGAAGTCAGCAACCAGCTCGTAATTAATTACACAAATTAGTTTCCTGAAGTCAGTCTGAAAATGTAGATTAAGTGTTGTATGATCTATTCCTAATGCTGGTAAGTCTCTGATACATACCCCAGTGATCAAAGCTCTTATGTACCATGGTTTTGATGTCCCTTGCTTGACTGGAAGGGAAGACTCTACCTGTGTCCAAGTTAACATGTAAAATGCATTGCGAATCCAGTTTGCTCTGATCTATGCGAGGTTGAAAGGGGTATTGCAATCTGTTGTAGAAAATATTTATTAAGAGAATTTTAGTGCTTGTCCCTGCTATACTTCTTAAAACAGCCAGTGGCAGACAAAAATGTGTTTCTGATTTGCACAGTAAGTTCTAAATCAAGTTTTAAAAAGTGACCTTTTAAAGCTTCAACATTTATGACATGCATGACCTAGCAGTAGTCTGTGTCAGGCTTTTACTAAACCAACTACCAGAAGCAAAGTGGGATTGCTACGGCTACAGTCCTTGTACACTTGCATTCATTTCCAGTGCCTCCAGCTGGGAGAGAAGTTTCTTTAGAGAACTCAAAGCATTGTCAGATCAGCAGCTTCTATCTGTTGCAGTAACTCCACAGCCCACCACCCTGACTTGGTTTCAGGTGTGATCAGGAGGGGAAAGGCAACACAAACGTGATTTGAAGAGAAACACAAGTACCGTGTATGCAATGTGTTTGAGCAAATGTGAAGACAGCTAGCAAGGGTCTGTTAAAACCCTTCATTTCCATTAAGAAGATGTAAGAGAACAGTTGTTAGAAATGGTGACAGTGAGTCTTTTGTGCTATTTGCTGAGGACTGAATTGTGGGGTAAAAATGAGTTCAATTGGATTGTGCCACTTGGTACTAAACAAAGTAAAGGTTTTTGTGCAAGTGCCACTACCTAACTCTGAGATACTCTTCCATGTAGACAGCATACTTTCTCTCCTTTCTCAGGGAAACTGGCTGCTGCCTGGATGCAATTTCAGATTTCACAGAATATTCTGAGTTGTAAGGGACCCACAGGATCACTTAGTCACTCTTCAGTGAATGGCCCATACCAGGATCAAACCCACAACCTTGGAGTTATTAGCACCAGGCTTTAACCAGCTGAGCTAATCTTGGGGTTATTGGTTAAGGCACAATGATAAGCTTATCTGGGAGTGAGAAAAGGATGGAAAAGTTGGTCACACCAGATCTGTGTATACTCTGTGGCCCCTTGCGCAGATACAAGAGGATCTTTTTGCTTTACGAGCGTGATTTGTATGTCTAAAATGCTCTATGTACTGTTTGTATACAGCAATCTTTTGTTTCAAGGCATTAACTGTCCTATGTTATGACAGGGTGTTTTTACATGGAAAACAGGTGTCTGAAGAATTGTTTGAGTACAACTCTGGAAGTTGTTTTTGGGACTTTGACTACTGTCTCCAGAAATCCTTAATGTCTTGCAAAATGTTACAGAACAGCAAAACTTTATTGGAATGGTCACTGCTGAGTTGTAAGAAATTTGAATCATTGGCTAAAAGTAGATCAGTCTGTTTAGCTTTCAGATCGTCTGTTTAGCTTTCTTTTGGTATAATGTGGAAGTAATCTCTTAAGCTGTTTTTATCAGGAGTTAACATTTTTCTTACATAGTTATTTTATTACAGTCTAACTGATACTCCTCATTTACCTTCCCTTCCTTCTTTTCTAAAATAAAATTAACTGGTTTTTAATGTATACTAATATACGTTATACACTCTCCATTAGAAGACAACCAGGTCAAAAGAGAAACAACTGAATATTTAATATTTGTCGATTAATGCATATCTAGATAAAACAATTTGATAACTAAAACTCTTTTAGAATTTGGCTTCCAGGCTAGGACTCGGGGAAAGAATTTCTGGATGCCTTCTGTTCTCTTTTGAATCTTTGCCAATATTCACGATGGTATTTCCATAAAGTCATATTTGTTTTCTTTAAGAATATATTTCTTCTCCGTTTTGTTTTAAATCTGTAAGATGTTATGGCTTCCTTTTTTGGAAATGTAGAAAAAAAAAAGTAATGTATTTCACTCCAAATGTCCCTCATGTACATTGTGCAAATGTGTTTGCCACAATGTTAATATTTAAGGGAAAAAATGAGACACATCACAACCCAAGAATCTAAACTTCAGGAATCCAGTCAGCAACCTTCAAGTCTTTGGACAGACCCTGGAAGGGCCGGCTTCTGTTCCATGCTGGGAGCAGGAAGAATACAGTTTTCCCCTAGAACAATTGACTGTTTGGTTGTACCCACCTACTAAAAACAAAAGATAAGAAAGAGCTACTCAATAACAAAATGCTAGTTTACTTCGGCTCCACTGTGCTTTTGGAGAGAACTAGCAGTTATTTGAGATAATCCTTTCAAGGAAAAGTCAATGGAGTTGATAAGAAGACTTCCTTTAAGAGAATTCAAGCTGAGAACTCTTTCTCTCTGTACTGTCCCCTATGGCTGAGATGTGGTGGTGTGTTGAAGGCTTTGGTCAGAGTTAGGCTGTGATCTTCCTGTTTCTGAGCTCTCCAGAGCAGTTCTAACTCTTTCAACTTTACTGACTTCTGGGTCATTTCTAATTCAAGTTTCTTGCTAGAACTAATGATAAACTGCCAAAAAGTAAATGTTCTTAACTCAAGTAGGCACTTGAGCCAGTAAGGAAAATAGCAATACAAGGGAATGGGTACCATCCCACCCTCTCATAGCCAACTATCTGGATTAAAACCCACTTCATTATGTGCTACTTAAACATGTGTCTCCCAGGCTGACCAAACAGAGTAAAAAAACATGCTGTTTGGGGAACGTGGGCAGAGATTCTCTTGACTTTGCCCCCCCAAAAGGCTGGCAGTGAAGTAAAGGGGGAAAAGTCCTTGAAAATGAGACTCCTCCACATCAGATAGCCTGGAGCAATTCAGTTTTTCAGAACAGCCTCTTGTGAAGAAATCCATGTTACCTTCAGAATGTTTACATGGGAGGTTACAAGTCTGAACAGGCTTTCTTTTGGCAGTTATCATTGCCATGCAGGTGACAGGTGGAAGAAAATTCCTGGAGCTCCCCGGTGTTCAAAGGCAGACTTATAAAGTTTATGAACCCACAGTTTGAAAGCACACCAAATCCCAAAATCCTGCCCTGGGCAGGGCACTAAGGGAGTAACTGAGCAGTTGGAGATGCTTTCACTGAGGTATAAATCCAGAGCAGGATGAGGATGTGTTACCTTCTGCTTTGCTCTAAGCAGAAGCAGCATGTGAACTCTGCTATCTGAGCCTCGGCTGCCTCACTGTTAGGCCAGTGGGCTACTCAGGCACAGGATGTGGTGCATGAATGGAAGCATTCATTGCCTTTCTCTTCTCATGCTTCTCTAAGCCTCGGGGCATTGATCCTGTGCTGCTGCCCCTTATCCAGAGCAGAGGAAGAGGCTGTCTCTGTCCTCTTCCCCTCTACTCTAGTTCCCTTGCAAAACAGAAAGCAAGATTCAAAGCAAGATTCAGCACAGAAAGCACTAATCTAAAATAAACTACCATTAGACATAATAAGGTCCAGCGTATCTCCGATTTATTAAACTATCTGCAACTGTGCAGAAAGTCACGATAAGATAGTCCTCTCTCCAGTTCAGGGAAAAAAAGCCCTTGCACACATTAGGTTTACTTCAGCCAAGTCATTTTCAAGGACCTCAGTATGTGCTGCACAAAGTCCTTCTCACATAGCCTTAACCTATTAACTGCTCTTTAATTTCAGACATAATCTCAGTTAAAACCCACAAAAACTCCCTGTTCTGAACTCACATGTGACCACATCAAGGGACTCTACTTATGATGAGGATTATTAAGCCTGTTGGACAGGTTATAATGATTGCCTTCCCCACAGGGCCTCGCAATATCCGGGCAGTAGTTTTCTGCATGATGTTTTCTGATGATTTCTAATGATTTTCTGCATAAAGCAGACTATTCCTCTGGACCCTTGTTTCCTGACAGCAGAAACCACTGTTTCTGTTCAGCTGAATTCCACCCCCCCCCATTCCCTACCAGAACAGCTGCTGCAATGTTTTGTATCAGACACTGAGGAAAAGGTTTCTGAGGCTGAGCCTCCTCCTGCGGCAGCGCGAGGAGCTGCTGTTGGCTTCACCAGAGCCAGGCTGTGCACTCTGTTGGGCGTTTCTACTTTTCTTTGAGCTTTTTTCTTTGTATGTGTTTCTGTAGCCAGCCACATAGCTCCGTGTGTGTGCAGATGACAGATGTGTTTATATTGCTTTATAGGTGGGATAGTGTGTAGAATTACATTTCACCAGATGAATGTGAAGTGCTAGAGTATGCTTTCACGTACTTAGCTCCAGCAAAATACCTTTTAAAAGTTGTTCCAATGTACAGAATACCATTTTCCATGGCAAAGTCTTAAGAGCATGTTGTACTGCTGAAAGTAAGGTGCTTAAATTAAGAAAACAGGATATATTGAAAGTCAGATTCACTGTATCAGGAAAAGAGAGGGAAACTCTGTTCCTTCCCTTGTTACTGATAGTAACATTTTTTCCTATATTTTAGAGCTTGAACTTGTTGTTTTCCCAATTGACAGTTTGCTCTGTTTGATATAGACTTGGTAAGGCTTTTTGCACCTAAGCTTTGAAGAAAGTACTTCTTAAATTGGTAAGTATTGTGCCTATACCATGACACTTGTCACCTTTTTATTTATCTTAACTACAAAAGGTGCACAACAGATTATAAGGGCAGCTTTGACAAGACCAGAGGAAAAATGATAGTGGTTTAATGCTTTGGGGGGTTTGGAAGACTGTAGAGTACAAACTGTCATGAAGCCAACTTAATATAACTGTTTCCTTTATACTCTAAGGATTCACAAGGGACTTCACTGCTAGCATACAGGAAATAAAGTCTGTTGTGCTAGAAAAAGACTTTGTTGCTTACAATTTAGAAAACACAAAGTTTCCTTAAAGGAAATGTTACATTCATACAAATTCCCATATTTATTTGTAGACAAAAATTACCATTCACATAGCAGGAAAACTAGATGAAAACAGAGACAGCATTGACTTAAAAGCCATTATGGTGTATTGGTAAACAGACCTAAATGACAGCAATAAACTCAACTACACAAAAATTTTACCTAAATGTAGATATATCTTTATTATTGCCTCATTTTCCAGTACCAGCTTCATTTCTTAATAGGAATTCTTGAAAATAAATTGCTACATGAATGCAATTCTTCAGTGAGGAGCTTGCAGAGTTTATTTTAGGTAAAGCTTGTCTTCTGTTGTTACACGATTCGACCAAGATATACTGACTTGGGATATTTTTCCTTTAGATGAGGCCACTGAACGATGAAATAATCTGAAAAGTAGTAAAGAATCTTTCCAGACAGGGATAAAGTCTCCACACGGCAGATGCTCTCTACATATACAATGATTGATCTCTTTATTCCTAGAAGGCCAAGAAGAAGAGCAGATATACAGACAGGAACACATGTTCCTGGTCCATTGCACAATATCTAAAAGAGATGAAACATATTACAAAAGTAAACCATGAGTTTTTCCATACAGTAAAGAATTAAAAATGTGCATATTCATTCAATGTTACATTTACACAAAAAGTATATTTCCAAATATATTGGAAAAAAACAGAACAAGCAAGTGAATATGAAAAAATGGGGGGGGTAAAGAAAAGACATTATTTCAAAGTAGTGCCAAAAAATATTTATTTACATGTCCTGGAGCTTCGATATGGCACAGTTAATTTCTATGAAGGAAAAGTTTAGAATTCCTTGGGTATATAACTTAAACAGTTTCTAGTCTCAGTCACAGCTTTGTGTTGTATCAGTCATGAAATCTATGCACCTAATAAGTTGAAAGAAGTTTAATTAGGATTATTAAACCTGAGATCCAGTTATAAACCTCTTGAACTTTGGCTTAAGTCAGCAGAATATTTAAGAGTTCATGAAAAATGTGCTGATGAATTAGGACCTTCACGAGACTCTATTAGCTGATAAGCATGATTGGGTTTTATTTTTTATTTTTAATAAACATTAGTAGATAGTTACAAGCATACAGAAGGAAGGTGTTTTGGTAAAAACATGTCACATCCTTGTAGCAGAGGATCTCAAATTCACTTATAAATGTTAACAGTAAAAGGAAGTACTCTTTTAATTTTAGACATTATTCAACTGAAAACCAGATTGCTTAAAAGTAAAAGGTTTAAACCAGGGTACATTAGGCACTTGACTTGGTATCAAAATGGATATCAGGCGAGGAATTTCTTACTAAACTTAAATAATACCATGTAATCAGCACTTTTCTGCACAGCTGGGGTTACATGGAAATAAAGAGTTCTTTTATAAAATCATGGCTCTATATCCTATAAACTCACTTTTTTTTTTTGTTCCAAGTTCACCAGCCTGTGAAAAATATTATACTGGTGGGGAAAAAAAAAATCTGAGTTTCTCTTTCAGGGCTGTAGCAATCATCTCAGAATGTTTCCTTCCCAGCTTCAGGGCAAGATCCCACTGATAAACTGGCTGGCAACATCTTGCCTCAGTTAAAAGGGGTAACAGCTTTGGTGCTTCTGAGTTCTAAACTCTCTCACCTATACTGTGTCTCTATCATAGCCCCAGAAATCTAGCTTGGGGATGTGATGGCCATACTGCTGTTGGTTTCTTATCAGAATCAACAGAATGTAATACTATTTGCAAAATTTTATTGTTGATCTTAATTGAACTATTTATTCATGCAAGACTTGCTGATGTTTTCTCAAAGTCCCTTACAAGCTACATGCTGCACACGTTTTTAATCTTGGAATTTTAGGGTATCAATGTCCACACATTCTTGTATTTGGAACATGAAATGGTGCACTGATTTTATAATAACAATTATATAGCTAAGAAGCAAAGCAGCTGAACACATCAACTTTGCATACTATTTTGAAACCAGAGGTTTCAAACTGTGGTTTCAAACCTCCTGCTGAGCCTGACTTCAAGTAAATCCATGGGACTTTAAACTCTATAATCTGCTGAGAATGAAGAAGCTGTATTTTATACGTCTTGGTGAGGAAGGGCATAAACCAACCACACACACTGCCTTTTAGCATTCCATAGTAACTTTTCCATACCTGTGAACTAAACCATGCATCTAAATGCACACACAAAGGTAAATGCCACAATGAATTCCAAACTAAGTGTACTCACAAAAGATCATGTAATGAAAATGGTAAACAGGTCTATTTGCAAACCTCTATGTAGCTCTAAAGGCCACACTGAGCTGCTGTTATTTTGCTGAGGCGCAAAACAGAAAAGCAATCATCAAAATTAAAATCATAATAAAATACCTCTCCTATATCCAGGTTTTGATATAATGCACTCAATTTATACTTTCTACTGACTAACTTGTAGGGTGCTTCTCAAATGCCCTTTGATTCATGGAAAAGCACTTGCATGCAGGGAAAAGGATCAGGAAAATTATGGACTTGGCATCTCTAAAAAACCATGATATGATCATAACTCATGTCCTCTGCTCTTTCCCCTTCCACACATACCAGTTCAAACAAAACAAAGCAGACGTGGCTTTATAGGATTTATGTATGCCAAATGCTCATAAAATACTCTGATTATAGATGTTGCTATTCCAAAATGCTTGGATTTAGTCTCTGAAAGAGACTCTGGTGTAAACCTGCTGAAGCCCATAGACAGATAGGTCCCTATCTGAATTGGGGGTCATGATCTGTAAATCAAAACTAGTAATCAATCTCTCTGAACACTAAAAATTAACCTTCAGTTAACCTTCAGTGCGTGTCTAGAGACATGTCCTACCTAGAACTGGTGCAGTTGCAATTGCAGTGGCAATTCCCCTCCAAAAATCTGGTCTGACCAGTCCTACTTACTCCCTCTCACACTGTCAGCAGGAAGGGAGGCCAGTGTTCCTTCTGCCTGGAATCCAACATCACACACTCTTCAAGGGATACAGGGGAAACTTCTGAGAAAATAAATATGTACATCATAAAGAAGAGGAACCATTGCAGAACTTTAAGCTAGAAATGCTACTGTTCAGCTCCTGCCAGTATACAAACTTGCTGACTGTGGAAAGGAACTGAATCATGTACAGCCTTCCTTAAATATGTAAGAGAAGATGAGCCACCCTACTAGTGAATTTTAAAACACTATTCAAAACTAACTTTTGGAGAATGATTGATGTCTTACACCTTGAAAAGACCAACTTTTGTTTTTCTTCTCCAGCAGAATAGAAGTTTCTCTCAGTGAATCCAATGGCAATCATTAGTATGTAGGGAAGAGACAGGCACCTATTGGGCAAGAAGGGACCAGGGCCTCTACAAGGTCAATCAGCTTTTCAGGGTGTTTCCCAATATCTATTTACTTTAGCTACAAGGCTGCCTGTAGAATATTTGTGTTGCATGAGATATGTCTCAAAAATCTCTGGTTTATTTGGTTCAGCCTCCCTTAAGGAGGCAGCAGAAAGGGGGAAAGAAGGGCCAAAGACAATTTTTGTGTCACCTTTGAACTGCAACTGCCCAAAGACTTTCTTAGTCACTGGGCTATCTGACTTTGTTGCCAACAAGTGGTAAGGGATTGTTCCAGAAGCCAATGCTACAGGTCTCTCTACACCACTTACATGCACCTCTAATGCAAAGAAATGCCCAGCTCACTGCTGAATTGGCTCACTGGTTGCCTGGGGTCATAGCTAGGTCTGTAAACTAAGTTGTACATACTAAAAACCTCTACCAATTCCATCTAACCAGAGTTTAAACAGTACAATAAACTAACCAAGCTGTATATTAATGGAGGTTTAAAAGTAAAGGATCAGAATACAAAATTTATCTTTAGCTACTCTATAAATCTAATTTCATTTTAATCACTTTCATATAAAAACTGAATAGTTCTTGCTTTTATGTTTCAGATATTTTCCACAGCTGTTGAAAGAAAATAAGCTAAGCCAGCAGTCTGGCACACTGAGAACAGTGGCACATGGCACCACTGCTGATAAAAGCTACTTCAGAGTTGGTGAATGCAGCACTGTGGCAGAGTGACATTTACCAGTGAAAACACTGAAAGCAGAGCTCACAGCTTCACTGGGATTAAATGTCAGGCCACTGATTAAAGCAAAAATGAGTAAAGCAGAAAACTTCCAGTTTTTATCATAAATACGTAAACATACATTTGCTGTATATCTTCAATAAGCAAGTGTTTAAGTACTACTGATGTTCCCAAATTACACCAATCAAAGGGAGGACAACATAAGTCCCCCCAAACTTAGTAGAAAGTGGAAAACATGTGTGATTTGTTTTGCATAAGAAATTGTCAACACCTGCTGTTCTCCTTAATGACTTCTGCAGAGATTGGCCTTTGTTACCTGGGCAAGAGCAGAAAAACTGCCCAGCTTCCTGGGGCTGGAGAGGTTTGCGGTGGGATGTGCACATGTGAACTGAAGACTACTTTACCAGATATGGAGCTACCTCCTGGAGTATATTCAGGACATTGCTCAGGCCTCCTTAGTTCTGGTAATGTTCCCTACTCTACAGTGCAAAACAACTGGAGATATGACTAAGGGAACAGGAGGTGGTGGTGACAGAGAACTACTAAAAAAGGCAAAGGTAAGTTGAGTGACACAAAGTGTACTCAAACTGGGTTAACCGCATGATGTCTGTATATCTGTGTAAGTCCTACTTTTTAACTGCTATACAATACTTATTTTTTAACAATGTAGGGAAAAAAACCATTAGATATTCCTATGTTATAGGAACAATGAATGTTTTTGTTTGTGTGTTTCTTGTTTTGATGGGGAAAGGTGGCCATTTCTGTGGCATGAGAAGAACACAATGAGTTAATTTGTATTCTGCTATGTAAATTACAGATTCTCATGAGCTCATCAGCCCTTGCTTCTTTTTAGTACTATATTACTATTTTAAAAACTTCACACTAATGCCCTGTAAGGTGATGTATCCAGCTGAACAATTTTTCCTTCACTACAGAAGCTGCTGTAATCTGGCTTTGTTTCAGCTGTGCCCATTTCTTGTCCCATAATTCGCAAAGTTTCCCTTGACTTCTCAGTGTATCCTTAACAATCCTCACATCTGTGGGAAACACCAGGGCAAGCATTATACCCCTGCAGTTCTGGGGCATGCTTTTTCAATGTTGGAGATTCTCTAATGGTAAAATTAAGCTCACAAAAGCATCAGTAAACAAATCTCAAATTTTATTTATAACTATATTTCCCTTATGAGCTCATGAACAAGATGCAAGCCTGGAGAGTCAAAAAGCATGGGTTGTACCCACAGCTCTGCTATGGACACACCATGGGATTTAGGGCACAGCACTTGCTTTCTCTCACGTCAACATTTTCTGTTTTAACACCTGAAAAACAATAACTTATTCCTCACATCAAAATTCCTGTAAATCCTTCTCAATAAAGATCTCCAGGGATGGAGAGTATTGCTTTTATTAGTATGTGTTTTGATTCAGTAGCATACATTGAGAATAAGATAAAA